TCTTTTCATTGAACTTTCCAGATTGAATACTGTTTGTTATCTTCATCTTTTCATACAGATGACAATTAAGAGAAAAACAAATTCCTGAAATACAAGTATACATGTATTCTAATTTTGATAAAACATTATAGTTTTTGGAATGAATGAAGATAAAGAGCTACAAAATATTTTCCTCGTTTCTATTTATAAACAGGCATGTAGTATTCGGTGGGGGGGGGGGGGGAGGGGAGGGGTCTGCCCTCCTTTTCCAAACATACCCCCCCCCCCCCAAAAAAAAAAAAACACACATACGTTCGAAAAACGATACTACGTGCCTGATATATATACACAAAGATGTTCACTGCAGGACTTGAACTCATCATGAACAACAAGAACACTCACGCCTAGCTTGTTAATCAATAAAAATAATTTTTGGTGATCGAGTTTTAGATGAAATATTTTTCAAGCTACAAAAATAATGTATTCAGATGTCCGCACTTTACAAAATGCAGTATAAATTTTGGTCAATAGTGCCGCATTTTTTAAAAGATTATAGTCACAAATGAAGAATCAGTGTATTAAATCCAAGATGCTCTCCTTAATTATTACCACTTCGGATTACATTGTACATTATACCAAAGGTTTTTTTTTTTTATTTTATTTAATCCAAAATCTAACATCTAGCGGCTTGACAAGCTTTCCGTTAAATACAGTTACATGTAATATCTATCACCTGGCTGCTAAGTTAAGCTTACAATCAACTCTCTACCATCGACTTATCAGTGATAGAAATAAACAACAGTTCTGCAAAGGAGACCTGCTACGATCTTGAACACAACCATCAAATAACCTACTTTCACGTAAAAGTAACGGCACATACAGAGAGAGATTTCATATTTACGAAATTTTGATTAAGCTACATGTATAAAATAGTATCAAATACAGATATTAAAAAAATTTACTAATCCTTTGTATAGGCATTTTATGTTAAAAATCTGTTGCAACTTGCAAGGGCAGATCCAGGAATTTTTTCCAAAGGGGGAAGGGGGGGGGGGAGGGGCTTTCACACAAACTAACACCTATCTTACTTCTAAGGGCAGCTCACTCTAACTGCATAAAACTACCCCATTCGGCAAACCTCGGCTGATTCCGTCACCTTCATCACAGAGGTACGAATCGGCAGAGGTGTGCCGAGTGAAAACTACCCAACAAGTAGAACTCTTTAGTATGCAGTGTTTAAAGCTTCTTTAAGAATTCTTGAAATTAAATAGTCGCAATTATAAAGTTAAAAATTAATAAGAGATATGTGTACCAGAAGTAAACATCTACATGTCGATCTATAGAAGCCGATACAGAAGATCCCAAGGCCAAAGGGTAAAGTGGCACCCGCACCCCATCCCCGCAAGTCAGGAAAAGGTGGCTTCTTCTTTAAACTGTTCAAAGTTTTGTGCTTAACCGAGAAAAACACCATGTGTGTAGCATACACTGTAAACTATTATATTTTTTTCTGCACGTTAATATTTTTTAAGTAGGATAACCCGTAAATGTTAGGAAATCTTGAAGATCGTTAGTACTAAATAATAAATACTCAACATAATTTGTGGTTCATTAAACTTCCCATTCAAACAATACATAAGAACTACTGAAAATTTTCAGTTGATGAAATAAAAATAAAATCTTTATGTTAAAAATTTTCAATTTCAATGGTTAGTAATAAAATGATAGAACTTTGGATCACGTTGTCGTTTTCCGTAGCATGCTAAAAACGGAAAAGAACATGCATGATCCGAACAATTTGTGTTTAAAGATATACCTTCTTGTATTATCTATCGTGCCTGAAAAAGAAATGTATGGTTAAAGCTGAAAATTAACTGTAGCCCATGTACCGGTATATGCCTATATATTAATATTGCCCACCTGCCACCAAGTTTTAAGAAAAAAAGTGTTGAACATCTCATAAATCGTTCAATTATAAAATTATTCTATAAGCTAAATGCACAACAACCCAAATCTTCTACTGGATTTGACAATGAAATAATATATTATTGGCTTGAAGACATCTAATGTTTGCAAGAAATGTTATAATTGCTCCAATTTAAACCAAAAAAAATCAAGCGTAGCAATGGATTGACAGATACAACACATTGAACATGGGGGGGGGGGGGGGGGTCTTCCATAAGTATTAGCGATTTTTTTTAAATTTCATATTTTATACATGTAATTCAATGAGAGTCATTAAATTTTACACAATTACAGGATATAAATTTTGCATGTATGGTGATTAAATGTAAAAACATATATATATATATATATATATATATATATATATATATATATATATATATATATATATATATATATATATATATATATATATATTTTTTTTTTTTAAAATGACCACGAAACACAGAATTTGGTAGAGGATTACAAAAATCGGTCGCATATATACCATATACAGTATATTTTTTGTTCTGTCTGTGTTTCATTCTATAACATTTAGTTGCCTGTCTGCGAAAACTCTAATATTTCACCTAGGCCTAACTTAAATTTGAACCGTAGTAGGTAAAATTTTCAATCACCTGCAATGTATAAATTACTTATGCTTTTTGAAGTGTATTTAGAACAAAGACTCTGTTTTTTTTCCTGCTTAACCGTAATCTAAACATATACAGTAATATACTTGTATGTACATCCATAAATTAATCTGGGCTATCCCTAATTTTCAGGCCCGTAGGAAGCAATTTCAGTGGGGGGGGGGGGGGGAGGGGACTACCAAAATTCCTTGACAAGCACAAGTTTTTTTTTTTTAAAAATCCATCAGACGCCTCTTTTTTTATAGAGGTACAAGCATCAAATAGCTATTTTTCTATAGTATAAAGCATACTGGCAAAATTATTGGGTGTTGGGGTGGCAGGGCCCCTGCCACATTTTTTTTTTTATTACACTGAATCGAGCCCTCCAATGTTCTGCAAGAATTGGTAATTGTTTCTTAGCGGCAATAGCCAGTAGTCACTACACTCTTGTTTTGGATAATTCCTTCAGGGCGGGTCTGATTTTAATAAATGAATAATAAAATCAAAATATTTCATATGTGCTTTATGATATTATTGCTTCCGTGTAATAAAAACCATAACTGAATTGAAAATGATTGAAAAGGGGGGTGGGGTGGGGTATAAGGCTTGGAAATGGAAAGACTATGTAAATAATGTCCAATATGATATAATTTTTTTTTTTTTTGATTATTGAGATATTCCATGTCTTTTTTTTCAGGGATGATTTTTAAAAATAATTTGCGACTAAGTAGACGACCATTTGATTCTGACGGAGGGGGGGGGGGTATTCATTTCGAACATGTCCAGGGACAGATAATCAATTTTAAGCTAAGAAAAGAAAATTAACCTCTCAAATAAAACTTTATTTCATGTATGTTTGGGAGGAGTCAAAAAACGGTCAGATTTTTCAGAATCTGCCACCACCCCCTCCCCTTTCAAAATCAACTGATCTCGTCTCTTAAGGTTAAAATGTAATTATTGTCGATTTTTCTTTTCTTTAAATTAATTTCAAAATGGTATTTATCTTCTTTCTAATAATACAAGCAATGTTCAGCACAGTCTGTTCCCCGATGTAAGCCTACATATTTATGGTTGTGAGTGTGACGTCACATCGACTTTGAAACTCGAGATTTGCACACTAAATATGCACCTCTTAGCTGAGGTGAAACAAGTGGGCGGATCATGGATCTTCAAATTTTTGTAACCTGTTTTCTGTACTAAATACTCCCCACTTTCGTCTCCTCTTCTGACATTTGATTACCTAAGTAAAGGAAAACTTTAATCTAAAGGAATAAAGTTTGTGTGTTGTACTACGATGACAGAATACCTTATATTACATACAATGCCTATTCGCCATTTTGACACAGAAAGTTCGGGAAAACAGTGAACGTGTGACGTCGCACTTCGAAAAGTGACGTCGAACAGGAGTTGTCTGCAGTGTATTGGCAGTGTTGACATCGTCGCATTTCTCTGGTTATTTGTTGGATTTAATCGTTGTTACGACTGTAAAAATACTTGTTAGTGTTTTCGGTTATCGTAATGAATATGCATTGGTATGTATTTTCGTTCTTTGAGAGTTATTTCTTTAGAATATCGGCATGTATAGTCTTCATTCATGGATACTTGTAGAACGGAATACTTGGGATTTTTAAGCGCAGCATGACAGTACAAATACTTCTACCGTGTTAATTACCGTTTAATTTGTACATCGCATGGACTGATTAACAATACAGACTGAATACACAATGTATATGGATTAACTACAGGATTTTTACCTATCTCAACTGGCGCATGCTCAAAGGGGTTAGTCGCCGCTCAGCGGCGACTAACCCCTTTAGGCATGCGCCAACTAACCCCATACATTTTTCATCTAACCCTTACCATTACAAGCAACCTTGTTTACACAAATAAATAAACAAACACAACAATAAACAAACAAACAAATAAAAAGAAAAAATAATTACAAGAAATAAAATAAATTATTTATAATATAGAGAGATAAACAAAATCTTTACTCAATACTGTATAAGACACAAAATGCAGAGAATTAAGGCAACATTTTTTTTTTCTTTTGAGCTACAAGTACATGTAAGGAGACTTAGTTGCTTATTTTTTTCAATTCTTTATATTCCGAATGAAATAATTATTCCGAGTTAAAATAATACCCTGTTTTCTGTACAAACTACAAACCCAACTCTTTTGAGTCATATTATTTATTTTCATGCCAGTCAAGGACAGATGTTTTATTTTCAAGATAATCAAGCAAAAAAAAAAAAATAATAATAATAAAAAAATAAAAAAGGTAAAATGCCCAAACTCCACACACAACTATTATTGGGGGGGGGGACACCATTTTCAGAATTTTCATGCAAGTTCAAATCATTAAGCTGATGTTAAGAACAAAATTTTTTTATTTTCAACATTTTTGAGGACAGATTATTTTTTTTTCCAAATTTTGGTTACTCTTACATAATTTGCTTGTGAGATATCCCAGTCTGTGTCCTCTTTGTCCTCCATCTCAGATCCACTGTCCCAGCTATCACCGGAGTCCTCACTCGAGTCCTCAACATCTGATTCTACAAACAAAGCATTAGCAATCATTTACTACAAATTATACATGTACACGTTATGATGTAGAGAAAAAGGGGGTGAATTACATGTACTTTCTTGCTTTCTTCATAAATGTATCCACTTTTTTGTGAAAAAATTACTCTACTTTTCATCCAATTTAAGCAATGATGTGAGCAAATATGAATCTACACTGCATCAGGGGTTGAAATTTTTCTGAAAAACCCACTAGCCCAGGGGCTACTGATCAGTAAAAATTTACTAACCCAAACCTCAAACCAACTAGCCCAACAATTTTCATGCAAAATGAAAACATAACAAATTAAAGTGTAAAACGCTTTGGTGACAGGAACACATTAAATTAGTTCTCAGTCAAAAGAAACCGAAAAGCTACGGTAAACTGACGATCAAGAATTTTTTCTCTGTTCTGCTAGTCCAATGGACTATCGTTACATTTAAATTAGCTAGCCCGAGTCTTAAAATGACTAGCCCCGGGCATTGGGCTACCGTATATTTCAACCCCTGTGCATAGAGAAACTTTCATATTAATTCAATTTGCAATTTTTGTTGTTGTGTTTTTGCATGAGATGATTGTGAGACCCCAAATGTACAGAGTTCTACAAACTTTTAGATGAAACCACACCCTGGGGGTAGCCCCAGGGAAGAGATTAAAATTCCAAAACCTTTTTTTTTTCATGAACATGACATGGCCAATCATAAGCAAAAAAAATTTTTTTTGCTTCAATTCACATACAGTCAAACCTCATTATCTTGAACTCGATGGGACCGAGAAAAAACTTCCGAGATATCCGAGGATTCGAGATATCAAAGGTAAAATACTTAAGGAATGAGTAGTTGGGACTTCTAAATCACTTCGACATATACATGGTATTCGAGATATCAGTGTTCGAGATACTGTAGTTCAACTGTATTAACTTCCTATGGTAAGCTTAATTTTTGGACCATATATGTGTATTTTAGCCCCTGGAAACTATGGGACCAAAATTTGAAATTTTCAATCATTATTGCACATCTGCATGACAAGGCCAATCCTGCAAGTTTTAAAAATAATTTTTGCTTGTCTTTAAAATTGAGAAGGAAAAGCAATGAAAGTTGGACAGTAGAACAGACAGTAATATCAGCAATATTCTTAAGCTTTCTTGAAAAAGTACACGAAAAAAAATATATAAATGTAACCAGTACCTTTGCTATTTGCTGCTGAATATAATGGACTTTTCCTTAAGTTGATAGACACTTTGTCCACTAAGCCAGGTCTTCCCCTTCCTCTATTCTTGTGAGTCTGATTTTCCTCCCCAGGGTCCTCCCTTATCCCATTTTCCTTTGGTTCTTCCCCTTCAGATGTCTCATTTTCTCCTCTATTCCTTACAAAATAGAAGACTGTTTACTGATTATGTTCTTCACAATGCATACCCTACAGCAAAATTATCAGATGTATCACTTCTCTATCCAAAATTAAATACAAGTGGCAATAAGCTTATGCTGTAATATAAGTACATAGGCACAAATTTTTGTAAATTTAAGCCATTTTGATGAATATTCTACATTGGTGTACACTTTCGTTTAGTTGAGAATTTCAGAAAATATACTTTGGCCTCTTTTCAGTGTCAGAAAACAAAATTATGAAAAAAAAAATAAGCTTTTACTTTTCTGTCTCTTTTATATCAAGCCTTTTTGTCATTATATGTGACCTGCTGGCTTAGGTTGTATTATACCTATTTGACTTTTCAGATTTTGGGGGACGTCCTCTGTCTCTCCCAGGTACTGTTATCTTATCTGGCGTCTTGTTCATTCTTCGAGGACGTCCACGACTCCTCTTTAGCTGATTGTCCTCCTCATCCATTTCCTCCAATTCCTTTTCCGATTCCCCATTCTTTTTCATTGGCGATAACAAATCTGTGCTACAATATTATTTTAAACAATATCTCAACAAAATTCTATCATAATGTCTAATTTTTGTTTTTAAGTCATTAAGCATATACACTGTATATATATATATTCTGCACATTACGCTTATATGTTTTGTACACTTAGATTACATGGAACCTGTTATCTGGAGATTTGTGGGGACGGCCACGTCCTCTGCCAGGTACTCTGATTTTTTCTGGCTTCCTGTTCATTTTGGGAGGACGACCTCGCCCTCTCTTTGGATTAACGTCCTTCTCCCCTTCTTCTTTCTCTTCTTCTGAGTATTCTAGTTTATTTTCTGTTGGCAATAACAAGCTGTAAAAATACAGTTTTATTCAAAGAAGAATGATGATAAAGGAACACCTCCTGGTCTTTGAATAGGCAGGCATGTCATTTCATAAAAATATCTGAACTCAAAAAACTCAGTAATGGGATAGGATGATCTATAGAAATGTTCACTGTATAAAGCATTTAAGTGTATTTTCTCAGTGCATACATTGTTTCAAACCTGCTTGGTGAGTGACTATTAGAAGGACTTCTGCTACTTGGAATGACTTCATCATCTGAAGCATTTGCTGCTGATGTCAAGCTCATGCTGCAAATTTAATTTAAAGCATATTGGCTTCTAGTTTTTTCTCTCTCCCATTTTCATTTACATGTAGTTCAGATGATAAAAAAATCAATGAATTTTAATTTTAAAGCTTTTATACACATCAAAATTTTACATACGTATTTGACATTGTAGATTTTGGAGGGCGCCCACGTCCTCTGCCCTGTACTTTGATTTTTTCTGGCTCCCTGTTTATTTTGGGAGGACGTCCTCGACCTCTCTTTAGTTTAAAGTCTCCCTCCTCCTCTTCTATTGATTCTTCTTTCTCTTTTTCTGGTGACTTCAAGCCCATACTGCAATGTTAGATACAAGTATTTCATATAAATGTATATGCATTTTTCCCCCGCCTTTATTCAGCTGGACATTCACAAATGAAAGATATTTATGTTGTACAGTTTTTAATATCAATGCCCTGTTCTATATAAATTACATGTACATAAGTTATCTACATGTACATGTTATTTTTATACAAACAAAGATACATGTAGGGTTGGATACCGGTACTCGGTACCAATACCGTACCGAATAGTTACTTCAAAAATACCGGTAAAATACCGTTTCATTTAATACCGGTACTAATAACGGTATTTCTCAATCTTTGAAACATTTTAATACATTCAAAATGATTTTTAAAAAAGAGATTCCAGACTCGCTAAAATAAAATTCTCCGCGCATTGAAAGGGTAGGCTATTTAACGAAATGGATGCTTAGTACGATACTTGCTTTTGACTGCCGATATTCGAGGTAAATCAATACATATATTTAAAAATAAAAATAAAAAACATTCACATTAATCGTGTTTTAATTTCATTTATAAAAACTGATAATAATTGTAAATAGAAAATGCAAAATGTCGCAAAAATGTGATGTGCATCTCTATCCCTTTTTAATGTTTTGTCGTAAAGTGCGATCAAACTAGTCCTGGCAAGTGGCAACCGGGTGAAGCGGTCAGCTGTATCTAGTTAGATTAATTTGTTTGAGATTCAATTAATTGTTTTGTTGATGATTTATTAAAAGATTGAAATATAACATAGTTTATAGGCTCATTTTAGATTATGTCATTGAATGGTTGAAGATTGGTGAAAGCACATTTGTTATAAAATGAGCCCTCATTCTCATTCATCGAGGTATAGTACCGTATCGTTAAAAATACCGAATCGTTTTAAAAATACCGGTATGGTATCGTACCGTTTCATCCTTAACGGTATCCAACCCTAGATACATGATTAATATACAATTAAGCATCTTGGTGAAGTCTATTAATATACAAAGATATATGGAAAACAGATGAAAATCATGCAGTGTTCTGAAAAAATATTTCCAAGAAATTTGAATATCAATACTAATGATGGCATTCAAAAACTTTTAAACAGAATATACTAAGTTTTACAAAAATTAAATGAAAACTTCTTTGTGTAACAAAAAATATTTATTACTTGTACATGTTGTACATGTAACAATGGTAACCCTATTTATTGAATCAAAAATTGAAAAATAGAATTATGTCTCTTTTTGACTTTAATTGTGTACCTACATATATTGAAATCCAACCAAAACCGTAGGAGCAAGGTTTTAAAAGAATTTCACAAATATTCTTCTTTTTCTTTTCTTTTTCTTTTTTTTAATACTAAATATGGCATCATTTTCATCACAATAAAAAAACAATACATACAATGTACTACATTTACTAAGGCTTATTGAAATTAGAGTAAAATGATAGGAAGAGCAGCATTTTGAAAGAAATTCATGAATAGCAATTGATGACCATAAAACTTGGTCTTAATACTCATATTTCCTGGGTATCAAATAAATCATTATCAATTAGTCACTTTAAACTTTGATTTTACCACACCTTTTAGCTGTGTTATATGTTCGAGGACACCCACAACCTCTGCCATTTTGTTTAACCTCCTCAGATTTCTTTTCCTTGTTTATTTCATCTGATTCAGACATTACATTAGCTAACTTTTCTGGACTGTCAATTCTGGGAGGACACCAAGACCCTCTGCCAGGTACTTTGATTTTTTCAGGCTTGTCCATCTTGCGGGGGCGCCCACGTCCTCTTTTTGGATTAATGTCCTCCTCATTATCCTCAACAGCTGACTGTACTTTCCTTTTATCTGGTGATAACAAGTTCATGCTGCAATGACAACATTATAAAGTTTAAGATAGGATGCAAATTTGATTCCTTTTCAATTTCAGTATTAACATCAATATCTTCTGAAATGACAAATCAAATACATTTAAAACCTTCTGATTATCACATACGATATGAAGCATGTACTTTTTCTACCACTTTTTTGTATTACATCTTTCTGGCATGTTAATACAAGGAACTCCACTAATGCTCCTGAAAAGTTTGACTTAAATGATTCCAGAGACTCTAACTCCTTTAGATGCTTTTCAAAATAAGTTATAGACATAATTCAAAGAAGATTGTGTCCAGATACCTTAAACATGTTAGATGCAATGAATTAGACGAACATCTATGTTCCTGTATTAAAATTTAGAATATAATTATTGGATAGACTTTATAACTTTAAAAAATGCTGTGATCCAAATATGACTTCAGAGATGACAGAGGGTCCACAAGCAACAATACTCAACAGCTCTGACAAGGCTATTATACGTGCAATTTTAAACTATGGGCTATACTATGGCCTTACTTCACATCCAAATTGTTTTCTCCTCGTTAGGTATCTATTTAGGTTTTGCATGTGGTTATGGCTTCTGCGTAAACCAATAATAGACTAATGAGTCTATACCATGACCATGATGTACACGCGAGTCGCAAGGATTTTTTGTTTTCAAATACGGGCACTTGCCATTATAAAAGAAAAAACCAGACTCGACATGGACGATGTCAATCCGGATGGTTAATTGTAAAACTTATACGTGTCTGTGCAGATACATAGCCAAGTGCACCAATTTTATTTAAAAAGAAAAAAAACTACCACACATAGATCTACATACACATAAACTCTACATAGGGGCTTGTCTTCCGGATTGTTAAATGTAAAATTAAATTAATAAAATTTTGAATTTTCTTTAAATTCACTTAAAAAATTGTTACAATAAAGATTCTGACACTTTCAGACAAGAAAAAAAAAATGTTAAAAAACATACCAAACCTATGTACTATCTAACAATCCGGAAGACAAGCCCCTATGGTTTATGTCTCCCAACTGATTCGATACGCAATATAGCATGCTCTGAGTATAATCTCAGCGAGATTCGTAGGGGCTAAAAATTTTGGTCGTAGGGACACCAGACCAAAATTTTTTGTCCCTACGAATCTCGCTGAGATTAGCTCTGAGTATGATCAATTTTACACCGAGGCAGGTTACTGACAAATAAGTTCGTGTTATGAAAATTTCACCAACCCCGTTAAAAGTCAGCTTTTTGCAAATTTTCAGTTTGTTATTATGACTTTGCAAATACGAGTACAACCTAGTGTTGGGTTGTATTTTGTCTGACAAGTTTGATACCATATATTAGATCACTGCATTTGACTGCGGAGTACCGCTCTGCATGCCTGATCAACAGGGCTCACGACGGGTGTGACTGGTCAACAGGGGATACTTACTCTTCCAAGGCACCTGATCTCACCTCTGGTGTTTCCAGGTATATCCGTGAGCCCTAGCTGTTCTAGATTTGTTTTTTTTCTGGATTTATGAGATTAATTGATCACTGTTTGTTATTTTTACATTATATGTTTGTAAAATATTATTTCCCCGAGAGTGGTACAGTTGTAATAAGGATAAATTTAACCTCGACCTTGTCCAATTGATATATACATAGTACTAAGTATATCAAGCCTATACATTTAGTGTATTACAAATTTAAAAAATATTGAATGGACCAGAATAATCACAATTCTAAATCCCAGTAGCTAGCCTATTCCAAATAAGTGTGGTGACATACCCTTTGATTATTACCTATCTGTGTACCATGTTTAAGCTTCGTAGATTTCTCAATTATAAAGGTACTCGATAAGAAATTCACTTACAATCTTTCTGATATTGACCTTCTCCCATTGACCTTGAGTATGAGAGACAAAAAATTTTGTTATTTAAAGTTTGTCATCTCTATGTTATTTATTTGCAAATCACGTCAATTTATGCAGAGCAGATTACATTTGACATAATAGTATTTTTACTAAAGACTTGAGATAATCATGATTGTCTTCCCTCCATTTTTGTTTATTTGTTGTTTTTTTTTTTTAATGAATTATGCCAAATTTTATCAGTATTTTGGAAGGAAAAATTCCTTTCCAAATTAACACCCAAACGATTTTACCTGTTTTCCAACCATGCATATAAAAAAAACTTTCTTAAAAAATGACCAGACACATAAATAACAAAGAAACACATTTGAATGCTTTTTAAATACAGGGTTGAACATAATTTATTGTATATTATACATGTATATATGTACAAACGATTAGATACAAGTTCCTCCAACTTGGTAAATGTTTTCCTTGTAAGATTGTCAAATAAATTACAATTACATGCATTAAAATTTAAAGTTATACATGTGAAGTAAATAAGATATTTCATGCAGAGACAATCATAGTGAATTCAAAATTTATACTACCAGATTCTGGAATGTAATACTTAACATCTATAATGATGATTTAGGAGTATCATTTACCAGTCTATTTTTTGGTGTTCATTTTAATTTCTTACATACAATGAAGATATAATAAACAATGTTATCTTTAGTTTTACCACATGAACATTAGAAAGAAAGCTATGTTTCTCCGATCTAGGTCGTAATTAAGTTTACAACTGAGCCTTAATTTGATGTGTTTATAATTTTCCAATAACGTTAGCCGTATGAGATTTTTCTGAAATAAAAAAGGTCATTTAGAGTAAGCGTACATATGCCTTTTTTCTTAATGATTCTCTTTTAACTAATCGCGTCGGAGACAAAATATTTTTTAAGTTTCAACTCTACGTTTTGAAATAGTGTAATATGTTTATCATCGTTCTCTCTAGTATTCGGGGAAAATACTGGTAATAAAATTACAAGATTGAGAGATGCTTTTCAAAAAATTCTGCCTTTCATTTCTTCAATAATTGTCTGAAGATTTTTTTTGGCAATTGACTAAAATTTTATTTCAGAAAAAATGTCTGATGATGTTCAAGGCACCGAATTCGAATCTAGCAGTTTTTGAAGGAGCTGGCGCTTCTGTATTGCGTATACATAATATGTACACACTCTGTGATATCGTTTTGAGCGATATCGGATAGTGGAAACAATTTCACATCAAGTCTCTGTTTGGCTTTTCCTATCATCTACCTTGCATTTTAATCCTGTGTCATCCTTTGAAAGCAGCGGGTCCGCGCTTGTGTTCAGTTCACTGTCTTCTGGTGTACATGTACATGGAGAATTCTTCGAAGGGCTGTCAGTATACGACGTAGAGATATCACTTTCTGCATAATTGGGACGGTATTTTGGTTCCTTTTCTTTTTTATCTCGTTTGCTTGACTTTCTATGTCCCCTGACGATCTTTAAGAACAGCACAACAAGCAGGAAACAAATGAAAAGTACCAAAATGGATACAACTATAGGTATCCAGTAAGTGTCGATTGATTCTTCTTGATTCATGTTTAACTTTGAAGCATTTTTGGTAATATTTTCGAGAAGTGTGGTCAGTAGCAATGACGAAGGTGATTTTGTTGAAACAGCAGTATTAGAAGTTGCATCTTTACCGACGACATTCATGGTTATGCAAAGACTGAGAATTTCTAAAGAAAAAATAATGATATGCATATGTATTTACACCTTCTTTTACGCATGTGAAATGTCCTACGTATGAGAGTACATATAAATATTGTACTTTCTTTTTCATAAGCTCATCGACCTCTCTGATCATATTTAATTTACCAAAAGATTGGGACTTAATTTTTGAGGCATGTTGGTGGTGAATGTGTTTTAACTGAATATCATACCATGGAAAATATAGCAGTCAATACTGTAGTACCTTAAAATAGCACAACATATGGTAACTATAAATAATACAGGAAAATTGTTGTGTTAAATATAGACATTAACATATACAGATAGTGTCTATTTGCTACTAAATGTTACTTTTTCATAATTACACATCTTCCCGGAGATTATCATTAATTGTATAATATTAAAAAAAATAAAAAAAATTTTACATTGATTATCAAGAAAATACAAAAAATTAATTAGAGTCATTTGTCTGCAGCGGACACGCAAAAACCACAGTAAGGATAAATTAAAGGCATATTTAATCTATATGTATGAGCTAGTACACATATATCAATCGATTAATCTTTAAGTTTCATTTGCTTAAAATGTTTAAAGCAAATGTTATTTTAGAATAACATAATCAAACCTTAGAATGTAGAAAAACAAATCCTTCTTGTTTCTAGAACTCCTGATTTAGATTAATGTTTGAAAACCCAATATCTATTTATACTTTCAGTTATTGTCGTACGGCAACATCTATACTTCCTGGATTTTTTTTTCTTAAGGTAAACAGCGTATTTTTTTATGTACTGTAAACTCAAGTATTTTGCATTAAAACTGAAAGATTTTTGATGTCACAAATTTTATTATTTTATGTGAACAATATTTAACGTATTTTGATATAAAAATATTTTGATAGTATTTTTCGAAAAACTAGCGAGTCATAATCGGACTATAAACTTGGGGTCGGTTTTATAAAACTATTTTATGACCAAGATTTGTCTTAAGACCAAAATTTGACTTAAGTTTGCACTAATATTAATTGTATTTCACAGAACTGTCATAGATGTATCGTACTTGTATAATATAATCTTAAATCTATCTTAATTAAATTTAAGACAACCAGATACATGTCTTTAGTCAGATGTTAAGGGTTCAAAACAGAGGGCACCTATATGTAAGCGAAAAATGGGTTTTTAGAGAAAGTAACAACCCATTATTGGACTACATGAATGGCTTAAAGTAGATCCAGGGTCAGAAGGTTCGGACTCCTCCCCCCCCCCCCCCCCGGCCTCCATAGGATTTTCAGTTATCAAATTTATATAATAAGGTAAAAAAAAAAAAGTGAGCTTGGGCCCCTACTAGGAAACATGCTCCCCTCGTAAGATGGTAAATGTAAGAAGAGGGTCTTGTAT